AAGTAACTCACATATCATTGCTGTCACCAACAAAGAAACTTTGCTAGCAATCAGATGGATACATGAACAAGTTGATCAAATACCACATGAAATTGTAATTATAAATTATAATCAACTAAGTTGTCGGTTAAAAAGATTTCTTGCGTGAGGAGTAAGAGCTGCTCTGGCACAGGGAGAAGATGTCCAAATCCCACCTACAAAGCTCTGATTGGTATGGGGTTAAAAGCCTATAATAAGTACAACAGCATATTTATTTGATTTGCTGAGAAGATTGGAGATCCGGGTGGTTAATCAGAGGTCTTAACCCAGGCTATATACTCCAGCACACAGTCATACACTAGACACTTAGCACTTCAAAACATGCAGAAACAATTATTCACGGTACAAATTGATGTTTTTCTGTCTGTCCGCCTGAATGCATGAATTGAGTTGGGATCAGGAGTCGGGGCTGGGGCTGTGGAAATACCTCTCTTCTCAGCCACTTTCCACTGCAGGAATGTTATGTGTAGAGTGCCCCTCCCTTGGGTCTGTCAGGAACAGTGTGTGCCTGTAGCCGGTAATTGATAATGCGGCCCAGGCAGCCCTAGCCCTGGTCAGTGGAGCGTGAACCAGCCTGAGAGGCAAAGAGGCTGAAGTGCACTGAGGTGAAGCTTAGCCCTCACACTCTCTGACGAGGGTAAGAGAGAGAGGGAGAGAGGAAATGAGGGAGGGAGGGAGGGAAAGCAGGATGTGAGAGCCAAGGGAGGCACACGTAACATAATCCATTCACACTGACAGGATAAACAGTGCCCATTCATTATTTAGTTACATTTGAGTTAACTCTCTGACACTCAAATCAAGAAATACTTTATCTGATTAAAACTGTAGAACACTACAAAACAGCAGCAGGCGACTACGTGGAATAAAAGAGGTCAGGGGCTTTATTCCTTACAGAACTCCGTAACCCATGAGTATTTATGCATGTGAAGTAAAAAGAGAAAGAAATTACCAAAAATAGTCTGATGAAAAGGATCATGTAGTTGAGAGAGGGTGCTATTTAATGCCTTTTGAGTAGAGGAGTTATTCAGAAAAATGGAGAATGGAGACCAGGTGGAGTGATGACTAGGCCTCAGCAGCGAGCAGGCCGAGAGCCAAGAGGCTGATAGGCACAAAATGTTGAGCATGGACTTGTGTGGCGCTGTATTTATGCCTGCAGACATGGGTGGAGACTCGTTTTACTGCAATCTATACAAACAGCAAAGCTTTGAAGTCATTATGAGCAGACGGCGCAGAATCGGTTTTTAATCAGACGTACTTGTATGTTTACAAATTGGTTTGGTTGGATTCATCTTTGGACTTTGAAACTTAATTATGGTTTATTTTAGCACCTTGGAGTAGTTTGTGATCATACAGTAAATTCTGGAGCATCTTTACATGGCAGTAAAGAGATTGATTTGTACATACGAGCTAAGCAATTTGTAATTTGCGACACTATTACAGTATAAACTTGATACATTTCTCTATCATGTCTTTTTTGATTTATTTATTAATACTGATTCTACTAAAAGCCTCTGAAAACAGCAAGCATAAACTCACATCTAGATTAAGAAGAACGTCTTGGTTTAACACTCAACAACTCAGCAACTGTAATCTACTTTAGGCTGTGTTTAGTGATTGGATCAGTTTATATTGACACAGCACTGGTAGCTACCAAAGCAAACAGCTGTGCAAACGGCATCTTATTCTGATCCAAATGTTGCTTTGCCCTGATTGGTGCAGTAAGGTATAAGGAGTCACATTTTCCAACAGAGCCCTGAATACATAAACCCAATAGGAAGAGCACAGAGAGCCAAGAGGCTGATAGGCACAAAATGTTGAATCTCTGAAGTGCAGTAACTAAAACTGTTTGGATGTTGGCAGAAAATGGTGTCGAACCACATAATTTATAGTAAGATGCAAAATCTTCTGCTACACAGGAAATTGTGCTTTTTTCAAGATTCAAGTTTATTTATATAGCACCTTTCAACACAAGGCAATTCAAAGTGCTTTACAAAAAACGAAAGACATTAGGAAAATGGCATTTAAAATCAGTCATTAGAAAGAAAAGCTAATAAAATAAACATTAAAAGAAAAAGTACATGGATAAAAGTTACAGTGCAGTCTAAGATATGAATAGTTCAATTAAAAGCAGCGACAAAAAGAAAAGTCTTCAGCCTGGATTTAAAAGTAGTCAGAGTTGCAGCGGACCTGCAGGTTTCTGGGAGTTTGTTCCAGATATTTGGAGCATAATAACTGAACGCTGCTTCTCCATGTTTAGTTCTGACTCTGGGGACAGAAAGCTGACCAGTCCCTGAAGACCTGAGAGATCTGGATGGTTCATAAATTCAAAGCTTTATAAACCAGCAGCAGTATTTTGAAATCTATTCTTTGACACACAGGAAGCCAGTGTAAAGACTTCAGAACAGGAGTGATGTAGACAAAATACCTCCAAAACCTTTAACTTGATGTACAGGTAACCAAAAGATCTCTTGGAAGTGTATATAGATTTAACTTTGCAGATGTTTAGAAACTTGCTCACCTACTGTCCAAGTCAGCACTGTTTGAGACATTTTGGAACTAGTGAGTTTGCCCAAGATTAGACATTTTAACATTATAAATGGATGCAAACATTTTTGATATCAGCTGCAAGGAAATGTGCTTTTTTTCCTCAAAGAGAAAAAAGTACAGATATTAAACTATGCAACGGCCAACCTCAGTGACAAGATATTAAAAAATGTGTACATTTCAACAGTGAGTACATTTGCAAGGCATCGTGTCAAAAAGACAAAGGGGAGTGGACGATGCGATGACATGTGACCCCTGTTCTGATGGTAAATTAGGATTGATTTCAATTCAGGTTAATTTATTTTATTTTATACTTGTAAAGTCCATAAACAAGAAAGAAAAAAAGGGTGTTGTACTTAAAACTAAGACCTTTATAATGCCTTCAGTAAAAAACAAAAGGCAGTTGTACTGACATTTTAAGATTTGAAACGACACACAGAAACAGCAGTATCCTGTTATTATGGATTCTTTCTTCCTAATGTCCAGTAACACAATCTTTGAGCAGCATGTAAGGAGCGATGAAGGGATGATGGAGGAATGGCAATGCATGGGACAGACACGTTGCAATGAGTAGGAAATTGCCATGTCCCTGGGTAACCGCCCATGTGGGGGCATTCAGGTGAACTAATGTAGGGCTGAAGGATATAAGAGTCTGTGCAGCTGGGCCAAAGCGATCGCAATGCTAGAACAATTTGATTCCAAACGGCTGAATAACATGTGGTGCATAAACAGATGTTTGTTACATAGAGAATGTATCTCTGTCAGTTTATTTGTATAGTATATACATGTAGGGTTCTTGTTTTGTTGATAATCAAGTACAGTCTGCTTTTTATTTGAATGGATGCAAACATATTTATTTTACTGCCACTGTGTAGTCATTTTATGGCTTATATGAGTTGCAATTAAATCAGTAATTGCTACTTGGTGTTAGACTCTATATCATTAAAAAGACAGTTTTGTGTAATTGTAGGTTACATCTAGATGGGCAAATAAAATAAATATTCTCTGTTCGTGTTAGGTTTTAACACAACTGAATGGCTCCGTATGACATTTAACATGCTATGATTAATACATGCATCTTTTAATATACATTATAATGTAATGTTAGATTCATGCCTACAAGGTTATTTTGCTTACACAATCATGGTAATAAAAAAGCCTAGTGAAGCTTTTATTAGTAACTGCATTATTTAAAAAATACAATTACAGTACATTAGCCAATTGCTTATATGCAGACATATTTTAAAAAACAATAACAAGTGACTTATTTGCATAATCAGATTAAGCAGATGTATACTGATTAAAATGTTAAATCTATATTTTAAAAAGCTTAGGAACCTAATAACTGCACCGTCTAGATGCAACACAGAGTGCTCTTATATTCTGCCCAAGTAGGCAAAATAACTCAGCCCAACAGCAGACTAAATCCACCACAATTGGTTGCTGGACTCACGCCAGGCTTGTGGCCGGAGTCCTGCTAACTGCGGCTGACAATCAGCCCATGTCCACACCCTCACATCTTTGCCAAAAATTGCAGCCTTGTTTTGGCCAGAGCCGGCATATTTTTGGACCTGCAGTGCCAGAATATGGCTGAATGAAGCTCTAATCAGCCTGACTCAGCTGGCTACCTGGGTGCTGATGAGAGTGAAAGTTGTTTAAACTTGAATTCTGTGCTGAGTACTGATGGCTGTTAATGATTTCTTCAAGGTACACACATGGGATGATATGTATTAAAGTTGTCCACTATTTATAAAATGTGGAGATCATGTCCTTACTATAATTAGATGTTATAAAAGTGATGTGAAGTACTGTTTGTCCTAGAGCTGGCTTTGTATACCAATTTATGATTCTAAAGTAAATAATAAAAATGGCTGAAAAAGGCTAACACAATTCTACAGTTTAATATCTTAGATTAAAATGGAAAGATGAGTTGCATGCATAACTCTCAGGGAATATGTCTATAACTGTTTTGTTTACAAACTATTTAGGTTGAGAGATATTTGTAATAATCAATATTATTAAAGAAATATATTCCAGGTTTTAAACCGGGTAACAGGGGCGCTGCACCCTCTTACTTTCAGCGTGCGCCCTCATACCAAAATGGTGATTTTCCCCGTAAAACTTTAAAGTGATGCCAGAAAACAATATTTCAGTTCGTCAAAAATGCTACAATTACTGCAAAGATATGAAAATCCTGTGAAATAGACAGTCAGATGGCATAGATACTGTAGCTTTGTTTTTACAAAGCTCGAAACGTCGCGTTGTTGTTACTGTCCGCGGCGCCATCTTGTATACAGGTGTCAGTTCTCGCGATCATTTATATTATATACAAGATCAGCACCACAGTATTGCCCTTATACTATATTTTTCTAGAAAAACCCCTGTATTCATTTTGTATTACTCTTTGTGTCCTACAGCTCCCTCAATAGTCCCCATCATGCACCAGATCAGCTCCACCATGAATAGCTTCACACTGTCATGGCCACAACCAGAGCAGCCCAATGGCATCATCCTGGACTATGAGCTGCGGTATTACGAAAAGGTAAGATACAGTGTGTGTGTGTGTGTGTGTGTGTGTGTGTGTGTGTGTGTGTGTGTGTGTGTGTGTGTGTGTGTGTGTGTGTGTGTGTGTGTGTGTGTGTGTGTGTGTGTGTGTGTGTGTGTGTGTGTGTGTGTGTGTGTGTGTGTGTGTACTGTATGTGTGGCTGTACATATTTGAATGTACATGGTATGTCTGATAGCATGCACAGTGTCATGTGTGTGTATATTAGTATGTATATGTATGTCAGCTCTTTCTGGTTTTGTCTCCTCTTCTCTACACAAACTTCATGTAAAGTCCCCCAAAGATGTAAACTCTACCAGATATCTGTAAGCAGAATCCCCTGGGTTGATAATATGTTCTTTCACTGTGTTCACTCCATCTCTCCCACTGTTCTTTGGTTTCTGCTGCTGATGAAGTGAATAGGTTGACCTCTGCTCCGGGCCCACTCTGCACAGTGCAGCAACCTGTCCTGCTGTGAAAATGCTTTGCATCTGGGGGGAGTCACATCGACCCGTCTGCTCACACACAATACGTCTGCTTTATTAAGTCGCCAGCCCTACCCCATAGCGCCTATGCTGCTCTAGTATTGACCTGTAGGCTTTTCCCAAGGCCTTGGACATAATGATACCAAGAGATCAGAGACTCTATCTTTTTGTTTGGGCTCTTGTTTGTCCTCCTAAAGCTGATCGATAGTTATAGCAAGGTTGATCGTGCATGCTTTGTCATCTTGAGCTAATACTTTATCCGAGGCTCGGTGTACCTTCACCCATGTTCTGCTCTCCATTTAAAAGACGGAAATCAATAGAGTTTTACAAATGTTTTTCTTTTTATGTTAAGTTATTTATTTCACACATACTCGTTTTGGCTAAGCTTTGTGGATCAATATTCACAGCTGCATCTTAAAAGAGTGTTTGTCACATTTAGCATTTTCTATCAGAGAGAACAACAATCATGTTTTTCAATTATGTTAGCAGTAGGAAACTCTGTGATCCAATATTAGCTGCAATGCTTGCTGTTTCCCCCTCTGGCATTGCACAGGTCATGAAATTGAATCTGATTGCCATAGCCCTGAGAAACCTTATCTGTCAGACAGCTTAGTGTTGTGTAAATAACACTTATACAGACTCCCATTAACTCGTGAATATCAATGAAACCTAATCCTATTGATGTTTATGTAGTATGTCTTCACACAAATAGATGAGCATGGCGTAATCACAAATTAGTGAATTAACGAGGACAAGGTGGCTAATTGCACTGGGATGATTCAGGTGACGGAGTTATTGCACTCTTCGCTGTCTTTTTGTTCCTTCATATTCCCCCTGTACTAACATGTACAACCATGCGAGTGTGAGTAACACACAGTAGGTGAGTCAGAGTGATTTCTTTGCAGCTCACTAGGCTGTGTGAGATGAGGTCCTCCCTTGACACTCTGTATTTTGGATCTGACAAGGCTTTTTATAGGCTCCAAACAGACTTTTCCTCACCCAGCCACTGCTGTCCAAAGTGACACTGCTGATGTGTTTTTGTGCCTGATTGAGCACCAACCCTTAGAAGAAGAAAAAAAGCAGATGGTGGCAAATCAAATGCCATGTGTGTAATTTCCATAGCAGTTAAGATTTATTATACAAATGCATGATACATTCTCTGCATAAATCTTCAGTGTCACACCAGTTGGCTTGGGTTATTTACATGCATGTTTGGCCTGCTTGTTGAATATGGAGAAGCAGGGAATTCAATTGCATTCCATGAGGTCAGTCCTGCCAACTCTCCATTGATTCTCTGAATGCTTGAGAGGTCCTGACAATCTGGAAGTTTCACGCAGCCGTAAAGTGATGATGTGGCCTTTTAGTCATAAAAGGCAATAGTGGAGGAATGTATATCATGTCTTACACACATCCCCAGTGCCATGGGTAATTTATAGGCTGGATAATGCAGTCATAAAAATAAGCATTTTTATATAAAAACGGCCCTGCTATACCTTCTCTTTTATGCATTTCACCGATGCATGCATTCATCTGTGAGTAGTTGCACTGTTCATGGTTCAGGAGTTGATTGTCTCAGCGTGCCTGGCACAGTCAGCCAGTCCTTAGCACAGCAGAGAGCCGTCTTTCTGTAGACTTCATCTCAAAGGAAGCCCTATGCCCATTTACAAGAGTGACTTCTTCAGCAGCACGGCATTGTGACTACCTCAGGGTAATTCTAAAAGAACATTCAGCTTATTTTTCTTTTTACAACCTTTTCTTAAAGTCGGAATTGTCGGAATTGTATCCATCAAGATAATAACATATTTCTCTCAGACTTTTTTAGATGCAAGAACCAATTTGAACATACGTAATTTTAAGTAGTTTCAGTAAGTAAGTAAGTAAGTAGGTAATTTGTAAGTATTAAATAAGTTATAAAATGTGGAGTTGTCATGAGAAAAAAAGTCAATAGATGGTTTTTAAATGTGAACTGTGCCGACATGGTTGTTTTACCTTGACTGCTTGGCACCCAGACAATAGAGACATACGTTTTACGAGATTGTACCCTAGGCAGCCGTTCTTAATCTAAAGGCTCTTCCAACTGCTACACCACCACTCTTCACCTGAATGTCTTTGTTCCCAAAGCAGTGTTATGGTAAGGGATGGCAATCTGCAACCAAAAACACTAGGTGCCACCAAATCTTTCACAATGTCCCTTTTAGGTTCCAGTGAGACAATTAAATACGATCCAGAAAGTCAGGTTAGAGTAACAGCTAACAAGCACCACATATGTATAACGATTTGTGATACTTTCAGACATGATTTCCCAATGTGTATGTTGCAAGTTAAACATATGCCAGAACAGTGGAGTTAAGAATGTAGTCCTGAAGGCACTTCTCTCAAGAGGATTCTCAAGAGGATTCTACCCTATAAATTGGATAGCAAGATGAAATGAATTCAAGTTTTTCAGGTAAAAAGTAGAATCTCATGCTCCCAGTCTCTATTTTTCTCATACCCTTTTCCTGTGGTTCCCTGAAGTTTGCGGGAGGGTGGAAATAACTCAGCATAGCGAAGGTCAGGCCTTCCATTAAGGCTGGAGCAGATCAGCCAGTGGCTCCAGTTACTGATGGCTCTGTGTTTGTTGTTGTCAGAGAGAGGGTGGGAGCTTTTGCCAGTGTTCGTGTGTGACTATCAGCAGTAGTTCAGGTGTATTCATTCTGTATGACAACAGCACTCGCATGCAACTGAGTGATAAAGTCAGGTGCAAACACGAGTGTACAGCACGTCTCCAAGATCTGCAGCACACTGACCTAGCTCCATCTGCATTTTTGGCACTTTAAAATCCCTCTTGTACTTTACATACAATTAGCGATTCCTCAGAAGAGAGGCCAAGAAAAAGTATTTATTATTCTATTCTTCTCTCCCTGCTAGCCCTCAGAATCGACCACAACACTTTTGTAGACACACACAGATTGTGTACAGACAAGTTTAGATTTTTAATGGAACCTGTGAAAAGCAGGACTTGTGCTGCACTCCCTCGGTCCCTATTCACATTTCGTCCTTCAGACTGCCTTCTTCCCTCCCTCTTTGTTTGACTCCCACCCGCTCACTGAGGCCTCCTTGTTAGTCTCCAGGTGAATGGAAAGCATACAAAGAGTCATCTCAAAAGAAGTTGGCTGCAAAGAAAAAGACAAAATAACTAAAAGCGCCAAAGTAAATTTCCCTTCAAATTGCACTGTAGATAAGATGATGCTTCTCACCTCTCTCGTAGCGTGCTCACTAGCATTAAGCAGGTGTTTTTGCAGGACCTGAATACGATAAAAACTTTTTTTTTGTTATGCCATATATCAAATCAAATCAAGTTTTATTTATATAGCACATTTATAAACGATTTTTGGTCAAGCCAAAGTGCTGTCATATAATAAAAATAGCCTACAGTAGAGACACTTTACAGCTAATACAACAGCACAGATTGTTCAGAATATCAGTATGAGAAAAATGACACCCTCTCTCCTTATATATATATATATATATATATATATATATATATCGTTTGCAGCAGGTAACCTATTGATTTTGCATTATTTTAGTTTATGTATTTCCAAAAGGCGTTTATGGGGTTTTAATGGAATTAAATACAATATTTAACAGCATTTTAATGATAATAATTATTTTTACTTTAGATTAGAATCTATGTAGTAGTATTGAACATTTGCATTTGCATCTACTCAATAAGATTTTAATTGTTAGTCAATATTTGTCAATTTTATTTTTATTTTCTTTCAATTCAATTTATTTCTTAACAAAGATACAAATAGAATGTTGTCCCTCATAAAACTCCCCAACCTATCATGTTCCCTTTGTGTGTTTCTGTGTGTGTCTGTGTGTGTTATACTTGCATGCGTTCATGTGTGTGAGCCTGTGAAGAGGACACATGGTATTCACAATGTCTGTCTTTGCGCCAGGTGGCCATGCTGTCCATGCTGTCCATGCTGTCCATGCTGTCCATTTTGGGTGGTTGGCATTATTTGAAAATCAGACCCACGCATTCAAACAAAAAGACACACAACAAACACACACACACACACACACACACATACACACACGTCATATCATGTCAGGTTAGTTCAATAGTCCAATATCATATAATGTCTTGGTTGCCTTTACAAACAATCATCGGCAATGGTTTTCATTGGCAAACTCACAGCCAAAAACCCTCTGAATGTAAGTGGGAACAGGCAGAAAGGATCTCCCCCTCTGCAGTCTGCTGGCAGCAAAATGCCAATTGTTGGAAAATTGGCAATTACAAAAATAAATTGAAAGTTTTAACAAGAAAAAGTATTGGAGTTCCACCATTATGATTATAATAGATACAGTAATAATGTAGTACATCTAGCAAATGTAGTCAAATCTTTAGAATGGTACCAATTAAAGCTAGGGAGGTAGTTTAATTTTGATAAGCAACATATTCTCTCCATCTTAAAATGTGTTGTTGCTTTGCAGTGTGGGCAGTTGTTATCAAAGCTAGAAATGCATTCAGGATATTCTGAGTTGGAATCAGGTTTGCACCAAAGGGATGTAAACACATCTGTATTTGTAGAACAGCCAATAAGCACTTTCCGTCACTAAAATGAGCTATGATTGTCCATGATCTCACAGGCTAGCTTTGAAAGCCTGAATAAAGCCAAGAGGAGATGCAGACGTCTAGTTTTCTCTCAAACCATTTGATTTACAATATTCTAAAACGTTAATTATCTTCCAATGACGCCATTACTATACTGCCTACCCCCTGTTTAAATATGTCCACATTTGCCCAGTAACTCTTGTCAATGTGGTTCCAGGTAGTTATAGTTTGAGTAGCTTCAAGGTTGTGTCTTCCTGGTCGAAAGCACTTATTGTAAGTCGCTTTGGATAAAAGTGTCAGCTAAATGCAATGTAATGTAATGTAATGTAGTACACATATTGAGAGAGAAACCAATGTACAAGTTGTGTAACAATCTTGCAAAGTTTGTCCCCGGGATTTTACTGAATGCTGCCAAAAACAAACTCCACGTGGTACATCCTGTCTGTCACCTCTGGCAATGCTTTTGATTGGCTGTTCTGCCATCTGCCTTCCCACCTGCAACACTCTCTTTATTTAGCGAGTTAGGGTGTGGCCCTCATAATCCCCATTTGACTGGCAGCAGGAGAGGACCTCTCGTGGTTGGAAGTCCCTCCTGGCATGGCATTTTATTGGCTATCCCCTAGCTCGCAGGAGGGCCAAATGCCAGCTCATTTTTAAGTGGCAGATGTGTGTGAGTGTGTGTGTCTTGCACATAATCCCTCTTTGACTGGCAGCATGAAAGGGCCATTCCTAGCTGGTGCTCCCTCAAGGGATTCTCCCCCATGGGCGGTTTGCCATCTGTCTGCTCACCTGTCCTCCATTCAAACTCAACAGATGGGGGTGTGGTCCGGAGAAATTCAGGAAAGACTGATAGAAGGAGAAGGCAATTCTTGACCCCAAGTGGTCCGTGTGCACTCAACCATGTCTTATACCAGATGAATAGGTGGCTCCAGTGTCTCATGGGGTTTCATGTCTTTTGCATCACTTTCAAATGTACAAGCTGCCTCTTTTCAATTCTAAATTCACAATTGTATTTGTATGCAGCACAGCAAAGAGGTGACAGATTGTGGGATCTAATGGACAAAAGGTCTGCGAGATGATTAAACTCTCTAACCAAGTTACATCTAGCTTTCTGTTTATAAACATATTTTTCCTCTCCGAAGCCGAATGTAAGAATGTTGATGCGATGCTCTCCCATCCCAAGCACAAACATTTGTCTTCATCAAGCCCAGAGTGTCCAATAAGAGCTAATGTGATTGCACAAATCATTATGTGGGGTTGCTCCGTCTGCTCAATGACGGAGCAACCGGAATGATTCAATTACACCAATCAGATTGGATAATGATTTCGATGTGGGTTGCTTCTGCCTCGAGTTTCTTATCGCTTCCTGCCATCATCTTTCTCCTCCTCCTCGTCACCCCCCTGCCCCTTGCTTCCTCTTTGTCTATCTATCTTTCCCACTCCACACTGTTGTCAGCTTAGATTTTTTATTCATATTTCCTCAGAGCAGTCAAACATGTATTATTAGTGTATTTACCAAGTGTAATAAAAACAACCTGTCTCCATTTACACATTTCTACTGACACAGGGAATTGCGCCCCCCCACTTTCAACTGACACAACAGTGTGTCTGCATCTAGCTATCAGCAGCCTGCAGTGGTGGGTGTAGTGTAGGTGCAGTCTTATTGTCTGGCTGTCATATTCACTCTGGGTTGGGGAAGGTGACAGACCTAAGTAATTGCTGATCCCCCCCTATCAGATACCTCCAGCAAGCCACAAACGTTACTGCAGACTTAAGCCTGGAAAAGATAGAAAGAGATGTATGATCAGGACGGCATGTCCTACACAGTATTTTACATGATGAATGACCATAATGTATGCCTACATACAAACATGCTTGTTAACTTCCAGGATCCGAACATACACTGAACAAAAATATAAACGCAACACTTTTGTTTTTGCTCCCATTTTTCATGAGATGAACTCAAAGATCTAAAACATTTTCTATATACACAAAATAACCATTTCTCTCAAATATTGTTCACAAATCTGAAAAAATCTGTGATAGTGAGCACTTCTCCTTTGCCAAGATAATCCATCCCACCTCACAGGTGTGGCATATCAAGATGCTGATTAGACAGCATGATTATTGCACAGGTGTGCCTTAGGCTGGCCACAATAAAAGGCCACTCTGAAACGTGCAGTTTTGCTTTATTGGGGGGGGTCTGGGGGGGTCCGAAAACCAGTCAGTATCTGGTGTGAGGGGTAGGGTTAGGGTAATGTTGTGAATCGAGTGGCCTGTGTTCGTCGTCCATAACATACGCCTGCCCATAACATAACCCCACCACCACCATGGGCCACTCGATTAAACTGCCATACAGCACATCTGAAGAGACAATATTCTATTACTGGTCCGAAGTAGCCGTTGTTCTTTGTAGTTAAAAATAAATGATTCCTTTTAATTACCACATTATGTATGTGTGCCAGTGTTTGTGAGTGGTGTGCTTGTGTTTTCATGGGTATATGCCTGCTGCAGTGTTAGAAGCTCAAACTGACCAAAGCCTTATTAAAAACCGAAAGCAAAAACATATTACTGTTTGATATTTAAATTGGCCCTTAAGACATCATTTTTAACCTGTTCAACCCTGAGGCTGTTTTTCAGGTCTCAGGCTCGAAAATCACATTCCCAGAACAAAGGACCATATCTTCCCTTCTAAAAGGGTTAGGGTTAGAAAAGTCAGAATCAATATACAGTAGATGTTTTTTATTTTAAAGAAAATTCAGATTGAACATAGTAAAAAACTGTAAATTACGTTGCCCCCCCCAGTGCTTAAGAGGTAAGAGAGCTTCAGTACCCTTCTTTATCTTCCTAACCCTAACCCTATTTTTCTATGCTATCTACTGTTTTCATACATCTTCTGTCAATGTTGTTTTTTGAAAACAGCACTTCCTATATCGCTGGTTTACAATATACAGCCTAAACTGATTTCATCCAGCTTTGGTCCACTTTCTCCGTGCTATTTTCCCAAATATACAATGCTTGGTAAGTCTGTTTGTTTCCTCACTGTCAAACTACACTTGTTTTGCCTGTGTGTTATTTTTTAACTTTGTGGGTAAACACTTTCCAGCTGACGTCTTCCCTGTAACTCATCTCTAACCTGCTCTCTGTGTGTTTGTTGCTCTTTTCAGGACCATGCAGAGATGAACTCCACCATCCTGCGGAGCCAAACTAACACTGCACGTGTGGAGGGCCTCAGGCCGGGTACAGTCTACGTCGTACAGGTGCGAGCACGGACTGTGGCTGGCTTTGGCAAATACAGCAGCAAGATGTGCTTCCAAACCCTCACAGATGGTAAGGATCCACGAGCCAGGAGAAACAGCTCTCTGTGTGTCTCTCTCTTTCTGTCTCACACGCACACACTCACACACAAACTCTTTTTGACACTATTGTCGCTCTTTGTCTGTTGTTGCATTATTATTCATAGGTGAGATAGAGGGGAACCGTAATGTTTGATTGCACTTCTATTTCTACAGCTAGATTAATTTCCTTCACGGTCAGGTTTGTATGTGGGTGCTTTGAATATGTAGAACGCTGAGTGTCTTTTGTTTGTGCAACTAACTGTGCTTGATCCATAATGCTTAGCTAATTGGTTTTTCACCCAGCCTTCTGTTGCTGGAGAGTCGTCCCAGAATGCATAGCTGTGATTAGTAGTTGATGAGATTAATTTTTCTGCCATGGGGGGGCTGGATTGTTGGAAAGGGAAGTGGCTGAAGAGAAGCTGCAACACCTGCTGCACTGGCAATGCTGCGGAACTAAGTTTATTAGTGTAAGAAAATGTGTGTGCTGGGCTGGTGACAGTAAATAGCCCTTCTTTGTGTAGTGTTTTTTCATAGACTTTCCAGGCAATAAAATGTGTTCTAAAATACACACGATTAACACGATTCAATCTGGATTAATTAAACATTTGAATGGATAGCAATTACAAGATTTGCAATTACAAGTGCTGCCTCGTTGTTCCCTGCTGGACTGCTAGCCTACATTCCAGGTGTGGCCATAGCTCATAATGTAATGTGTGAGTAATGTATCAAAGACAGGAGTGACATTTGACTTCTTGTATTGCGTTAATTAAGATGATAATAATGAATAGGATGCTGATGATCTTGAGGGAGGAGAAGATAGAAAGGATAATAATGGTGATGAAGGTGATCTTTGTGACTCTTTAACTGCGCAGAGCAGATGTAGGGTACCTTTGAATCACCCTGACGGTAACAAATGATCTCTCCCTCAAACACTTGTGCGTGTTTCCATGCCCTCCCGTTCAAGCAATCACTGTTTGCGGTTCATCTGTTGGCTCGCTTCCATATAGCACGATATTCATCAAGACAATTAGCAGCAGACTCTGGAGAACCGCTGACAATAATACCCACGGCTCTACCTCCTGCCCCTCCTGCCAGTTTTCTCTCCCCCCCCTGTCACACTACTCGACTGTCTCCTCATGACACCAGCAAACTGTTGTGCTCCCTCCATATCTTTTCTTAAAACATATAATCCCCTTTGTCACCCTTTCGGCACGTTTTCATACACCTCCATAAGATGTCTTTTTGCACCTCTCAAATCAAATCAAATCAAGTTTTATTTATATAGCACATTTATAAACGATTTTTGGTCGAGCCAAAGTGCTGTACATATAATAAAAATAGCCTACAGTAGAGACACTTTACAGCAAATACAACAGCACAGATTGTTCAGAATATCAGTATGAGAAAAAACGACACCCTCTATCCTTAGACCACATCGTACAAGGAAAAACTTCCAGAGAAAAACCCACAGTTTGAGGGGAAAGAATGGGAGAAACCTCAGGGAGAGCAACAGAGGAGGGATCCCTCTCCCAGGACGGACAGACGTGCAATAGATGCCGTGTGTAAATCGAAGAGATAATACATTTTACAGCATATAGACCGAATGTTAGGAAATGCATGTGTTCTACACACAGAAACACACATACTCGCAAGCAGTGTAGACTTGATCGGCAGGTATGATGAAAGATAACTGATTGGTCCATCAGTATGGTTAATGATGTCAGAGTTCTCCAGTTTTCCAATAAACTGAGGCCACACTAAATAACTAATTGTAATAGGAGCCTATTTGCGACAAAAACAGGTAGCTGCATGATTTCTGTCTGTCACAGAAACACTCCATTCTCATATGGGTGAAGGGGAGATTTATCTGGACTTTTCATGCCTGATATGCATCATAATAAAACAGGAAGACTGCCTGGAAGCTTGAGAAGCCGGAACATCATTCACACTGTTCACACTTGAAACACACTTGATAAATGGGCAAGTTAAAAGAGTGAGCAATACCTGTCACATTGAGTTTCCTCATATATCCCAGCTCTCACACTGCTTGGAAGATGCATAATTCTCCCTTTATCACTTTAATCCAATAGGCCCATTCTAGACGGGGGATTGGATTTAGAAGCTGCTGATTTGCCTGCAGCATGCAAAATCGTTGAATGCTTTAAATACAGTCTTGGAAAACATGAGGGAATACAGGCACACACAAAGATAACTAAGGATTCTGCTGTGTAGAGTTTTTAGGAAGGCATACTGTACGCCAGGGGTAGGCAAGTAAGTTTGGCCGTGGGCCAATTTTTTGCTGAGCCGCAAGATGGCGGGCCAGAACATAATCAAAGCCTAATTCAAGGAATTGATTTTGGTAAGAGGGCGCAGCGCCCCTGTTCGCCCAATCCAGAGCCTTTGGCTAGACCTGCCCAAAGGGAGGCTCGTCCTCTCTAGCCCCATTTCAGTCCCAAAGCCAGGGATATTATCTGTATTTTAACAGACTTATCTTTTAAATTGAGGTGTATTTATTGTTCTCTTCAAAGTTTATTTTTCTCTGAAATTGTAGGGAGGATGGTCCTCCCTTTCCTCAATGGATGAGCCTCCACTGAGTAAAGTAGAGTTATTAACTAGGTAGCAGTGTTATTTAACATACTTTTATTCTGATAAGTATTGTCAAGTTCTCTGGGTTTTTGGCATTTATTTGAGTGTTTGCCCACATTTGAGAGGCTTGAGGGACAACTGGAATCCTTTTTCCTTTTCTTTATTTCAACTTTTCAAGGACACATTAGGTCAGGTTGAAAACCTTTAAAAAATATCAAAGGACAAAATAAATCAATTACAGCAGTTTTGCTTTGCAATTTAATATATTATAACCTAAATTAATCAGTAACCAAGTATTTTACTCAAACTCAATGTATTTAATAGTTAAATAAGTAGGCTACTTTAATTGACCTGGTTCCCCCCAACCACACATTTGCCATATGTGACCCGCTCTATCGAAATCAGTCGGAAGTCGCAACGGCTCATTTCAAAATAAACGTGGATTTGCGTAAAAAAATAGTTTTTCAGGGTTCGGGTGTTTTTGTTTGATTTTAAATAAACAAAGTCTTGGCTTTCAGAATATGGAACTTTTATTTCCAAAATCACATGATAAATACATGTTTGAAGCTTGTAAAGGGAAGATGACAGCTCTCCCTCGCCACTCTGCTCTTCCACAGCGCCGCTTCCCCTCCCTCCGCTGACATTATGAATGTAAGCTGATATTTCGGGACATAATTTATTTTACCGGACAAATTTGAAACTTACCGGTCATGTTTCAATAATAATAATAAGAATTGTGTAGCAGAGTTTCCGTTAGCAGGTAATCACCGGACTAGGACCGGATATGCTGATGTTTAAAACTCAGTTAATGGGGCTCATTTTTATATTGCTTCAGTTTATAATCGTTACAGATCAAAAAATTCAGATTCATTTTTCAATAAATGATTCCACAAACAACATAATTATTACATTCAAACAAACTACTTGTAGTAGATGAAGTACATTATTCAAAAGTTTACATTAACTTTGAATAATAACACGGGAGAAACGGATGCTCTCTTTTCCCTCTCTCTCTCTCTCTCTCTCTCTCTCTCTCTCTCTCTCTCTCTCTCTCTCTCTCTCCTGACAGCCCGTCAGTTTCTCATGCAGCTTGCTAAACAGTGGGCGGGGCTTCAGGTGATTATACAGGGCTGCGTGTCTCCGTCAGACTCAGCAGCTGATCTGATCTCTCTCTCGCGTCCGGTTATACTTCACTCGCGTGTATGTCCATCTCGATCAGATCCAGCTCTCCTGATCGGCCTTTATAGAGAGCACCGATCAAACTATTAAGAGTGAATATCGGCCGATAATGACCGGGGGCCGATCGATCGGCCGCTAACGGAAACCCTGATGTGCGACTGTCGGTCCTATGTTGTAAAAAAAAAAAAAAAATCTCAAAATAATATTTTATTTTTTAATCTCAAAATTACGGGTCAAATATTATTGCTGGCGGGCCAACAATGGGCCGCCTGTTGCCGACCCATGCTGTACGCTGTCCTCTGAACTCCTGCCAGCCTGCCCCAGCTATAAAACATGTTTGGGCTACACATGTGATTGGCAGTAGATGCCTTCCTTTCAACACGTAAGAAAAAACATTCCAAGGTGTACCTTGTGTCCGCTTGTTTCTGACAGGTATAGCAGCTGAGCAGGTTTAGAGGCCCCCCTTTCACTTTCTCCCCATCACTCTTATCCTTCTCTGTCACTCTCTGTCTCTTTCTAGGTCAGCCAGTCTTGCTAAAGCTTACTGGATTTCAGTCAGCACCGCTCACGGAGAGATCTATATGGTTTCTTTGTACAACAGTACACCCAGTCTAACCATTCAACTATGCCTCTTCTTATTCCTTATGCTATGTATGAGCTATTCTCAAAGTCTGTTCTTGTGCTTTTTTGTGTAACACAGATGACTTCAAGTCTGAGCTGAGGGAGCAGCTTCCTCTGATTGCAGGGTCAGCGGCAGCAGGAGTGGTCTTTATTGTTTCCCTTATCGCTATCTCCATCGTTTGCAGCAGGTAACCACTTTTTACTTTTTTCTGTCTCTTGCAATACATGGCAGAAAAGGCTGTAATTAAATGACTTATTTGCAACATTTTTCAATGACAGATTGAATTGTCAACAAAATTAATTGAGTTGTTCTTAATGCTTCAAAGATTTATTTCTCAGGAAGAAAATAGGAACAAATCCAGTTCACCTTTGCTAGTGTAATAACAGCATATAGCGTCCTGGGGCACTCAGCAAATATAGGGAACATAATAACATTAACCCCATGCCATCCAATACAGAATCCCTGCATGCGTTCCCATTTGCTATTAACTATTGAAAGACAGATGGCAACGCTGCATGAAAATGGATTTCCATCACATTGTGATGGATTGTCAATGTTTCTAATCAGAGTTTAGCCATACATAAAACCACTTTGCATCTAATGCATTATTCAACCGTCATATATTTAGATACTGTATCTTCAAAGTACTGAAATACTTTGATACTGAAACTCATTACAGTTTTTGAGACATTAGAGATCTAGCCAAGCCCCCAGGTCAAACTGGAACACACAGTATGTGAGTTCATTACATAAACGTGCTGCACATTTAGTCATAGCAATCATTTTTATGGTAAGGACAGCTAAGTTGACACATGCACGGAGAACCTAACAACTCCTACTTTGCCATGTTAAGTAACTTTAGTCAAGGCAATTTAATTTTGCAGCAGTTTGTCACACTGCTGCTCTGCTTTAAATATATGAAAGTCGAATTTTCTGCAGTGCTGTGTGCAACTTTAAGCAAGTGTTCATGAAGCAGGCCAGGCTCTTTTGATGCTGAGGCAGACTAGACAGATGAAAAGCAGAGAGATCCTATCAAGGTCTAATTAAAAATCAGCTCATTTTCATAAACTTATTTTGCCATTGCTAACCCTCTGCAACTGATTCAATTTCAGCCACGTCATTTTTAGACCATACAGAGAAACATGAAAAGTAATAAGGCCTCGTTTACACTTCCTTTCATCTTGTCATCTCTCTCTTCCCTTTCTCTCTCTTCTCTCTCAATATTCATTGCTCCCTTAGGAAAAGGGCATACACCAAGGAGGCTGTGTACAGTGACAAGTTGCAACATTACAGCACAGGAAGAGGTAAGTCCAAACTAACACTTATAACTCCTATAGGCCAGTGGTTTGTCGGTCCCAAATGTTTTGTTTGTCTGTACCTATTTCAAACCCGAAAAAAAAAAGAAAAGTAAAAAGATCAATTTGTATTTTGATACACCATACATATTTTGTTGAGAGATTGTTGTTTACATGTCCTAATACCAAAAAGAGACATTTAGAATGTTGCGCTGCCTAGGTGAAAAATGCTCTTTTCTGAGAGTTTTCATATATATTATTTATATACCTAAACTATATGCCTTTTACATACATATAAATAAATACATATGGATGTATGTGAATCATGGGCTCTTACATAATGTATTTGCATTAATGAAAAATAAGTGAGGTACAGTAAAAGACAAATCCTCACCTGAGGTAGTTGTAAATGACATTTCGGTTATTTAATACAATGACACTGACTGACAGTCGTATCCCAGGGCTGTATGATGCTGTGATTGAGTCATGTTTTAAGCACTCCGCGGGCACCACCTGATGAGGGGAAGGAGCCTGAAGGGACACACACATAACCTCCATCACACATGCATCATGCATCATCACATGCCCACATACACACTTAAGGGTGTGTATGAGATTTGTACCACAAATGAAAGCCCTACTGCCGACTTAGCAGTTTGAAAAGGGGCTCACTCGAGGGTATAGAGTTTTGTTGAGCCTGACCCAGCAAAGCGTTTCAGCACAGTTACTTTGTGTCAAAAAGCTTCAGCAGTGGCAGCCTAGGGCTCGTTAAACCTGCTGTGGGCAGAGGAAGTTTTGTCACAGGCTATCTTTTGTTAAACAAAATGCAATTAACATGAGTGGTGAAAATAAATAAAGATCAGAGAAGCTTGCCGCCCTAATCACAAATAAGCAATATGAAGCAGAAAATAATTAAGGGATCCTATTCACAAGTTGTTCCCGTCAACATTCACATCGCCAAACCTCATGAAGTAATTTCCCATCCCATGATGTATTGTTGTCTTCTATTCTCTAAAGATTTGATTGGCAGTTTTGTAATTACAGTATTCAACGCAACCATTAAATAGCGCAGCTCAGCCAATTGTTTTGGGTGAATCTCCAAAAATGTGTTACAGGGTTTTAAACAGCTGCTTACTGTTCCAGCTGTTGCCACACAAGTTAGGTGATGTCTCTTCATTCCCAGAGCACCTAATGTGACAGGTGTCAAGAGGGATGGTGCTCATACTGTAAAATTAGTATGTGCTTCGTGGTGTGGTCATGGTTATGAAAATTAGACCTCTAACATTATACCAGTGGGTGGGATGTCATGACAGGCAGGGACCCATGCGTGAACAAACACATCATTCCAACAGATGAACCAAGGACTGCTTGTGTGGCATGGATGATTTTTGTTTTAATTGTACACATCAGTGCATCATCAGCGTTCATCTCAACGTATCATACACACCTCTCTGCGTCAGAGCATATACAATTTCTCACTTTTTCCACTTTTCCACACATCAACAACCTGTCAACACCAGCTAATTAACAGACAGACATTTCTAAGCGCTACATGTTAACTCTATGCCCTAATGCTTCTCTGCAGATGACTTGCAACATATCTTTAAAACACTAATGTTCAAACCCTGTATGTTGCTTTGTAGCTTCAGCTGTTGTTTGTGCTTCAGCATCTGCTGCTCACACTGAATGAGAATAGGATTAGAAGGCCTATTTTCCACATGTGGTTATTGTTAGATGCCAAATACATTTGTATATAGTTATTTTTGGTGCCACTGCCAATTGCATTTATAAATGTAAAGTCAACGCATTAGCTGAGGCATAGATAGTATTGGTAAGAAGCCGTAGAATATTGCGACATTGTACTATAGGTCTGGACTAGCAGAATGCCTGATAAAAAAAACTCACATCTGTAACAATGTGACTGTTAATCCCAGACAATGTTTAGATCCCCTCTGTGATTCCCATGCTAATAAGCTGCGCTGTTTCTGACAACAGATTTTCTGACATCAAACGATGGATAATTAGTTTGTGTTTAGGAAATACACTCAGCTCATTATAATCACAGAGCCACAGAGGAGATTAGTGTGCATCTCAGATGGACACAAGCGGGACTGAATTTACTATAGGTGTACAGTATCCTGAAATTGTGTATGTTCATTTCTCAAAGTAGTTTATCTATATATTGAAAATATTTAAATTTGAATATTGTCTGGGAAAAGGAATAAGAAGGAATTATGTTTTTGGTTAAAAATTCATAGATATATAAATTGTTCATTAAAGATGAAAAGATAAGCATTTATGAAGCTACAGTTTCACATTGCTGTTTGTCCTAAGGCAATATGTAAATTCTGTGCAGTAGAACCAGTAATTTGATTGTACCAATAGCCAGTAATAGTTTAAAGTACGCATTACTGCCTTACAGTTGATTTGTGGATACATTAGGGCCATTCAGTTAACGAGCAGGGCAGACAAATACCAGGCTAAATGTTGGACATTGGTGAAAATAACATGGTGCAGTGCAGTAAACTGTAATTTATAATTCAGGTCAACTTAATAGCCTTAACTGTTTTTAGCAATTGTGTCATGGCCTAGGGAATTTGTTTAGATTTATAATCCAAATTGAGTTTTCATCCATTCCTTATGCGGTGATCTAATTGAAAAATGTAAAGTATGTGTTGTCCCATGAGTCATTGCAGCAGCCGTGCATTTTCTCCCGACAGGATTGCTATTTTATATCTTGGGTAGAAAATAGAACTGACGTTGGGATACTTTTGCTTCAAACTCTTAAATGAAGGACATATAAAATATTAAAGAAGGAATCTATTTTTAATCTGATGGCCATAAAAGGATGAGTCCAGTTTAAGAGGGCTGTACCACGGGGAGGGAGAGAGATAAACTGTTTGCATTTTAAATTAAATATGAATGTGGGCTCTGGACTGTGAATCAGAAAGCAATGGGTGTACGTACTCTATGTGTACGTGGCTGTACGTGCATGAGATTTTGTGCGCATGTTTCCTCATATGTTTGTTGTTGTATATGCTCCCTTCAGAGATCTTGAGTCAGAAGCAGTGGTGCTGCTGGGAGAGCAGCTTGGCGACACTTGTATATATAACAACTTTACGGAATGCAAAGCTCCAAACCCTCTGATGGATTAACTTGAATCCAATCTGTATGGAATCTCTAATGAGCAATTACATTCACACAGACAGGGTTCAAGGCAATTAGTGCAGTAACTAGAATCAGCTTTTAGTCAAGAGCGAGGTGAGGCACCTTGATCCCTCCAAGACCAGACCTTATCTTCTTCATGTCTCTCGAGACCCCTCCCTCTATCTATCTATGTGGCTTATGCAAATAAGCAGGCACAAATTGACATGATGGAGATGGGTTTATTCCAATCATGGCTGCCAAGGTTTTGACTAAACGGCTGTGAGAAAGAGGGCTGCCCTTGGGTGTCACTGTAGAAATGATGATTTGACGTCTGCTTGCTCGCCCTAATGTCCGTCGTGTGGCAGTGGGTATTGAATTTGTTTACAAGTGTTTTTCAACACTCTTTCCCCCCCTTCCTCCGTTTGCAGACATCTCCAGTCTGTGAACTGATTCATCTTTTGCAGAGCAGCATAAAAAGAAATAGTTGATAGCGCAGTGGTTTTTATCTCTTTATGAGCTCCTATAGGGAAAGGCTTTGGGGACAATTGTTTCTACAGCTATCAAAAAGAAGACAAGCTAGCGTAAGGAATACACGTTTAAAAAGAAAATAAAACTGTCCACATAAACTCTTTCCATATACTGTATCCCTTCATCTTTCTCTCTTTTTTTTCACTCCAACTACTGAATCATCAAACCACCATTTGCATTGTATTGCTTTACTCTACTAGGGGCGCTCCTGTAATAAGCCAATAACACTATTTAATGCGTGCATTATCTGCTAATATTTATTTGCATAATATAGTGCACGAACCTGTCTCTAAAGCGGACCATAGACTAAATGGAGTTATTATCCTTTAAATGGTTAAGTGCCTGTTGTGATTGTAAGTGATGCTGTGTCACACACTGATTTAGGCTCTGACTTAAAGGGCTATTGCATTCATTAATCATTAATACCATCATTAGCCAAGGAAACAAAAACAAAGAGTGTCTTCTTCTCAAAAGCTTATTGAGCACTTTGGTTATTCTAGAACTCTCTTTGCGAGCCGACATGTCTAACTGCCCCTCCCCACTGGGCTGCCCGACCCACTTCTCAGGCTCCCCGGGGATGAAGATCTACATCGATCCCTTTACCTACGAAGACCCCAACGAAGCTGTGAGAGAATTCGCCAAAGAGATTGACGTCTCCACCGTCAAAATCGAAGAGGTCATCGGTGCAGGTATGGAGAATGGGTGCTATGGAACAACGTGTGTTTCCTTACATGTGCATGTGAGGTTAATGTGAGTAGCTGTATATTTATGTATTTATGTTACATGTGTATATCTGTGTGCTCGAGTGCAAACAAGTTTAACCTGCATCTGTTCAAGGTCGTAAAGCCCAGCACTTTTACCAGCCACATCACATGGGAACATGTCTGGGGCCCATGTCAAGAGCACCAGCAGCATATAGGCCAGCTACCCTGGGACTCAATGTCATTAGAAATAACTCAAGCCTTGCAGCCTATTCCCTGCGCTTCTCTGTTTAGGAGCCTATTAGTGTTGCTCTATCACATAGACATCTATCTACCTTGCCCTTTTTCATGACTAGCATGTAAAGTAGGTAGAGACATTTTTAGTTTTCTGTCCCTGTTTCCTTGTTTTTGAATGTATCGGTAAAATGTTTGGTCAAATTGATGAAATGCTAATTAGGGGATTATTGCTTTTAAAGGTCCCCTATTATACTGTTTTTCATCAATATATTATAGCTCTCAGTTATACAAAACATGTCTCTGAAGTGTTTGGCTCCAAATACCAAACAGATCATTCATTGTAGCGTCCCATAAACCCTGTTTCAGCCCTTTTTCAAAAGTGCTGATTTTCTGTCTGTTACTTAAAGAGGGGGGGGGGGGGGGGGGGGGGACTACCCTGGTTGGTTATTGGCTAATGGTAACACAAGCCAAATAATCTTCATGACATCATAAAGTGGCCAAAATCTGACAGGTTGTTATATAAATGGATCAGGACAAAAAGTGAGTGAATCTTTTGTCCTGAAACGTTCAGAATCTCTTTACCCAGAAGGGACTCATGTTTATGTATAAAATACTACAACAAGTGGATTTTGCATAATCGGTGACCTTTAAGTAAATTATAAAGCTTAAATACCTCCATCTTAGCATGTACTTGTGTCCCCAACATGTATTTTCATTGGGACTCACTGGACACACCTTTTTTTCAGCAGGAAGGGCATGCTGATAACAGTATGTGTTTGTTTGTACTGTAGAGAGGCTGGAACACAAACATTATTCTGGGCCTGGAATAGCGAGTGGCCTACTCAGCAAGCTAGGTGTGAGGAAGTAACAGAGATGGGGTAATATTCAAGGGGACTAACTAATTAAAGATTTCCGGTTTTGTTGATTTCACTGTGTGGTGTCTCTGCAGGATACCAAGGTGAAGATAATTAATCCAGATATTTACCAGATACTTGTTTATTTATTTATTTTGGGGGGGGGAGATATGAAAACAGTTGGCCGGCCTTTAGTACAGCTAAATCATGTGAGTCGGGGGAACCACAGTGTTAAAAATATCATGATGTAGCAACAATAGAGAGTATTGGACAACACTCAGGGTGCTTGATATAGAATAAATGAAAATCAATCATTTCTGCCAAGGGACATGAGATGTAAATAAGATGAATAAATAAATAGATTTAGATCTCATCAACTCTACTAATGTTTTGTTTGATCACTTTTTGATCAAAAAAAACTTTATCAGTTCTGGGTTTTGACAGGTACCACTGTGCTCCTCTTTCCATCTCCCCTCTAGGTGAATTTGGGGAGGTTTACAAGGGCCGTTTGAAGCTGCCTGGTAAGAGGGAGATCTATGTAGCCATCAAGACTCTGAAGGCAGGCTACGTGGATAAGCAGAGGCGGGACTTCCTGGCTGAAGCTTCAATCATGGGCCAGTTCGATCATCCCAACATCATCCGTCTGGAGGGTGTAGTCACAAAGAGCCGACCGGTCATGATAGTCACAGAGTTTATGGAGAATGGTGCCCTTGACTCATTCCTCAGGGTGAGTCATTTTTGTAGAAACATACTTGTAGGCTACTAGTTATATTAGGTGATGAGAAGCCATATTCTCAAGTCTAATATAAGCTATTCCATTATGAAACTGAGGAGTTAATTGGAAATTAATTGTTAAACAGTCCCGTAAAGGAGTGCATTCTAGGAATTGCTCCTAATACAAATTAGAATGAGCCTTCTTAATCTGTCGTGTGCCAACAGAGAATATGTTTCATGACAATGAACATGATTTCAATCATTCTTAATTTCGAATTTTCCATTAGCTAGCTCTATCAGCTTTAATTTCTCTATAAATGCCTGGAGTGTTTAATGAACTCCTCACTTTCTTTTATAGTCGGGATTGAGCGGACATACAGCTTAATCAATATTCAACTCGCTCTTTCCCTTCTTCAATCTCATGGATTGGTGTTCTATTCCACTTTGATCTAGGGTGGGTTTAAAGGGGCTCTTTGAAGTTGGCTTTGCTAACCGCCACATCCGACTTGTGTTCCTATCGATCTCCCTTACCCTCTTATTTGTTACTGTGTTTCGAGGGTTCAAAGCTTGCTCTTCAAAACATTCGTACCGGGGTAGGGGCGCCATGCTTGGATGTTGAAGAGATGGATGTCATCAAGTTATAATGGAAAACTGCTCTGAAACCGGCAATGAGCAAGATTGGCTTCAGGAATCCATTTCCCTATCTAATAGAAGTCTAATTTTCTACTGGTTATGAAGAGGATTTAAAGGGCAATTAAAGAGTGCAGGATGTTGATTTTATAATAGCTGAGTGTAAACAACAAATAATTAAAAATACGACGCCAAAAAAAACGTATCCTGAAATAAGTGGACTTAATTACTTGCTAGAGAAAAAGCTCTAATGTCAACAGTTGGGAAATCAGATATATTAGACTACTTGTAAATGTAAATGCCAGATGTGACAGCACATCTTGTTGTTTTGCCACTTTATGAACATAGACCCTCTGGCTTTGGTAGTAATAATAGACTACAAAGCCTTTAAATTGAAGTACATTCCCACTGGGCAGCCTTGTTGGTAAGAAAATACATTAGAAAAAAGGACAAACATTTAATTTATTTTTCACTTGATTTGGTATTTCCTAGCAGAAAAGATCCAATTGTATGTATATTTGTGTTCATCATATACATATAAGGACAATCAGGCCTAGTATTTGTTATCAGCATCCTATCTCCAGTAAAGAACCAATGTAATTAGTTCATTATCATTAAAAAGCAGTAATATTAACATTTGCTGACACCTCTCTATCTCCCAGCTATTCTCATTTATGTTAATTGCGCAAAAACAATTATGTAAATAACTTTTTTTCTCTCTGTCCTCTAGCAAAATGATGGTCAGTTCACCGTGATCCAGTTGGTAGGGATGATGCGTGGGATCTCAGCTGGGATGAAATATCTCTCCGAAATGAACTACGTTCACCGTGATCTGGCTGCACGAAACATTCTGGTCAACAGCAACCTGGTCTGTAAAGTGTCTGACTTCGGCCTGTCTCGCTACCTACAGGACGACACTTCTGATCCCAGCTACACCAGTGCACTGGTGAGTACTTACAATGTTCAACTTTTATCTTAAGGGCCAGGGGGAACCATATATTTTCCAAATATGGCTTTTTCAGCATGTAATGTGTCTTTGAAGTGTCAAGTCAAATTGTTACCATTGATACACACAGCATACGAAACGTCGCTACAACCATCACCTATCAGTCTAATCACTATTGCTTCTCTGTGACACTGTCTCTTTCTTTCTGAAGGTCTTTGCAACCTTTCACCTTTTCAGTGCCTTTCATTTTATATTAGCTGTCTGTCTTTCTCATCCCCTTTCTTCCTCTTTCCTACACTCTGCAAGTCACGAACTGGAGGGCTGTCACATCTTCATTAGTGTGGAGACAAGCCTCCTCTGGGAAGGCTCCTCTCTCGTTGACATGCCCAGAGTGCAGTGAAACCAAAGGGCATTGCGGCCTCTCAAACTGACAGCTTCCAACCCCCCCCATCCATTTTCTCTCTCATTCATTATTACTGGGGCATCATGGGAGGCTTTGGCTCCTCATTAACTCCTCCACACTACAGATCTGTAATTATTAGCAACCATCGTTAGTTCATCTTCTGCCTCTCCTCTTCCTAATTCAAAACACACTCTTACGCCCTCGCAAACACACTGCACAGGTCGTTAGGACTCCCGGCATGCCTGAGTTTGTGCGTGGGTTTTTACTTAAGTGTGTGCATGCATGTGTGTGTAGAGCTTAAAAGCTATGGTGTGTACATGCATGTATGTGTCGGAGTGGGTGGGTGGGTGTCTTTGTGTCTATTGCCACCTCATTGACATTGCTTTGGGACTTTGGTGCAAATTAGCTCGTGTCACTGTCAATGCAACACATATTTATCTGTCTGCCTTTTGTAGTAAGGTTTGCAATAGAGGAAATGTGTATATATATATATTATTATTATTATTTTTAGCATGTCATGTATTTCATCTGTCCTCCTGTAATGTTTGTTCCCCAGCCTCCAGTGGCCCTACACAACCTTTACTGCCAGTCTAACCTGGGAGAAGATATTCTTACTTGTTTCATAAAACCACCCTGGTAGCTCTCTCCGAAAGTGATGAATGTAAATGGTGGTAGCACTGTATATATTATCAATAAATAGTATAATCATGTTATAAAAAGAGCCTATTCTAGAATTGCTTTCAGATATTTCTTTTAACACATGCAAAAGAAGATCATTATATTACATGACATGTTCAGTGTTTCCCACAGATATGAAATATACTTGGGCGGGTGGTGGCAAGGGCGGGGCTGCGCGAAAAAAAAAAAAAAAGTTTAACAAACATTATTATTGACTTTTCATTCCGGTATAATCATTTTGCGCAAAGATGGCACTGTTTGTCAGAGCACTTCATCCTTCTGGGATTTCATGAAGAACAGCTCCAACGCCTGTGTGTATGGGAATGCCTCTGGTGCTGGTCCATTAACTGCCAGTGTTTCCCACAGATCTGAAATATACTTTGGGGGGTGGTGGTAGCGGGGGGGGGTTGAGGTGACGTGCAACAACATTAACCTTTCTGTTGGTCGCTTGTTAGCAGACCCTTCACGCGATGGCAGAGCGAACAGGTACAGGTACAGGCAGGGTCCATAATGATAGCCCTATAGTTTAAATCTACTACCCACACATGAACATATGGAAATGGGTTACTATTTAAAAAAATAAATGTATTTATTAATGTATTTAGGAACCTATCCATGTGATTTTTAGTGGGGGTCGACCTCAAATCCTCTAGGGGGGTCCAGGGGCATGCCCCCCCGGTAAGATTTTATTTTTTATTTTGGAGTTAAATGCATCAATCTGGTGCATTTTGAGGGGAAAATAAAGAGACTAGATCTATGGAAACACCTATATTTAACAGAACTGTATACATTTCAATAATCATAAAATCAAGGCCATAACCAATAACATACCATTTCCAATATGAAAAAAACACTGAAACTTGTTTATTAATTTAGTTTTGGTTCATTTATAGTTGTGAGTGTGTCTGTGCTCCTGAATCAGCCTCTCCTGTCTCCATCCTCTCCCCCTGCTCCTCTTTGAGGCAGCAGCAAAGACTAGTCTTCTCTCAACAAGTTTTAAAAGTGTATCTTACCTTTTTTCACCTAGTTAACTTTTTATTTATTTATTCATGCATATTTTACTAATCACATTACATTTCATTTAGCTGACGCTTTTATCCAAAGCGACTTATAATGACCGATTACAGGGACATTCTCCCTGGAGTAACTAAGGGCTAAGTGCCTTACTCAAGGGCACACTAGTGGTGGTGTTCCTGGCGGGATTTGAACTCACAGCCTTCCGATCTTCAGCCCACCTCACTATCCATTAGACCAATCACTACCCTCTCAAATGGAAATATGTGTTTACATAAATGGTGACCACACCGTTTGAGACCCACTGAGAACTTAGACTAAGTTAACTATCTAAACACTCAGAGAGTCCTTTACCTCACCTGAGCTGAGGTTATCCCGAGCTTGAATGACACACAGAGACCAATCAAGGGCTTTGATTTATGATCTGTATGACAGTGGCCATGTCGGCAGGCCACATCATGTGGACAGCCAGTCACCCTGTGTGAGGCAGGCCACTTAACAGGCCAGAAGGAGGCGAGATCAGAGCAAGGGAGCGAGGGATCATTGTCTACAAGTTAATCGATCGCAGATGGCGTCGTGGTCACGGACGAATAAAAAAATATATATATTAAAAAAAAAATTTAGAAAAAAAATAATAAAAAACTAAATGGGTCGCGAAATATACTTGGGCGGCCGTTAATATACCTGGGCGGCCCGCCCAGGTATAGTCTATGTGTGGGAAACCCTGATGTTACTTGTTAGACGCTTTTATCCAAAGCGACTAACATACTCAATACTGTGGGCAATCCCCACAGGAGCAATTTGGGGTGAAGTGTCTTGCCCAGGGACACAACGACATGCTGACTGCAGAGAGGTTTGAATCTGTGTTCCTGATCCAAACACCAACGCACTAGTCCACTGTGCCACACACCTCCAGATCAAAGACATATAGTCAGTATGTGAGTCAGAGCAACTCAGGTATAAAAAGAGAGTCGGAAAAATAATTTGTCTTCATCTAAATATAGGCAAAGAAACAAAACACATCATGTACGTTATCCTCTGTACTTTTGAGCTCTGGTTGAAAATGCTCTCGTTAGATTATTGTTAATAATGTTACAATTATTACTTTAGGTTGTTTGCCAATAACATTCAGTGTAAATTATTGGCAGAATGTGGATGCTCAGGTGAGCACAGGAAGTGTCATAACCTTACATCGGTGTGGCTGAGAGCTAATCGCTCTCCAGGAATAGCTTGCATTGTATGCTTGACCCCTGTGGGTAAACCTTGCTGAATGGGTCTTATTTAGCAACAAAGAGGAACAGCATCTCTGTTGTCTGCACCGCTGAGCTTGCTAATAAAACAGGGTGTAAAAGGAGGGGATTAGATTATAGATTGAAGTCGGCATTTTGATGTTGTTTAATGCAAACAAAGTCTCCTTGAGGGCATTATCTGGAGGGTCAATAGAGCAGGTGAGGTTTGAAGTCTAAACCTGGTGAGCTGTTTTGATGGTAACACTAAGGTGTTTTGATGCTGTGTGTGTCTTTTACTGATAGAGAAGAGCACATCAACTTCGACTGTGCTTCAATTTCATACTGAGTGCAGCCTTATTATCATAAGGATCCAGATGAAATCTTCAGTTCCATGACTATTTGTGTTCCTATCAAATCAGAAGAGCAGTTTTATTCTCATCTCATAATGAGAGTCCGTAACTATGCCTGCTGAAGTATTAAATATAACTAAATGTGATAACATTTGAGGTCAGCTCATCAAGACTTTGCTGATGTTGCTACAGATGTTCTTAGTCCTCTGTTCTCCTGATCCCCAATCCCCAGTAAACAGGGAAAACATGCAAACAAGTACGCTCCTGTACAGGGTTCTATGATGTAATTAAGCTATGCATGGTGCCTTTCACTCTTTGACTTCTTCAGCTAAGACCTGACGCTAACCAATCAGTGAGCAAGGCTGGCGTGGCAGACAAGGCCGAGGGAATCCGGGAAATTAAATTGCGCTGACAAGCAGTGATTTACATCGCCATCGACCTCTTCCTCCAGCAAATTAATCACCTCTTTCCCTCTACTGCTTTTCTAATTTTTCCCTGCAATTTGAGGCTCACCAATTACAGTGCCTGTGGTGTGGTGCTGGATGTATGGTTAGGGGGACATGCTGGTAATTGTGTTAACCCTGGATTTGGGTTCATTCTGGAGCAGTGTTGTGGAGGTTTCAGACAGAAGGGGGCTGTCCGCCCTTTCTGTTGGCTGCTAACCAAAGTCGTGATTAATTAGGCTCACTGGACAATGCTTGGACTGCACTGGTCTTGCTAAGGTGATGTGTGTTAATTATTATAAAGACTGTGTGTCCCATCACAGACATGCCTTTCTTGTATTTGCATCACTGCCTGATTATATTTACACAGTTGCTTGGTTTATGAAGTAGCCCTTAGGACCATGATCACAAGTCCAGGTTAAATGTGAGTTAACCTGCTTACCTGACAGAGAGGAGGATTGATTTTTGAACACCGGGAACACTTTCAAATGAGTCTCTTTATTCACAAATCCATATATCTAAAAGGCTACCATCTATGCATCTATTTATCTATTATTCCTTTTCCCCTAGCTGTCCACTTCGTCCCCATTTCATCAGATGGACATAATCAGTGTAGATGTAACGAATGAAGAACCAAACTGTGTTTTGTTTTCATGTGTGAGTGAATAGTGTGTCAAGTCTATCACACATTAGACACACACAAGTGCTGCTACCCTTTCATTTGAGTTTGTATGCCCATAGGACCTTAGTGAGGAGGGCAGGTAGGGTCAGGAATTTTGGCTTGTGTCTCAGCTGATGATGTGGAAAGCCTGTCATTGCCTTGCATGTCACACCATACCATACGATGTGACTGAGTGGGCATGTTTGTGGTTAGAAGAGTGTG